CTTAAAAATCCGATTTGAATCCCTAATCCTAACCTGATCATCAATTACGTAGCTGTAATCGCTAACCGTAACCCTACTCCAAATGTCACTCGGAGAGGCGGTGAGGGGACGTAGTAAAGTACAGGCTACCTAGCTGCCTACGATTGTTCACAGTCTTACTTTGCGAAGCCTAAACTAACATACCTGCTCGAGTAATATAAAGACATAGGTAAAGTTGGGATTTACCCGTCACATAAAATTGGCAACATAGTAATTTGTCCAGTTCTAGTCTATCTTACGTTCAGTGAAAGAGCGACTACTTTTATTTGAGCAAATGCATGCTGCGGGATACACGCAACCCTGCCGTCCGTTCGATGTACGGTTCAAAATGCTACTGCATGCTTCTAGGCAGTATTATTTTGGAATTTTTAATGCCAAGAGTTTATTTTAGTCACCTGCACTAATAAACGTTGCGGACGCAATGCGATATGTCGCAGAGGAATCTGTGAATGCCTAGTCGGGTTCGCAGGCGATGCGGAGAATGACTGTCAACCAATTGAATCTGTTCTTCTTAGGAAGCCAAGAGGTAGGGGTGAAGAAAAAAACATCTGATAGATATTTATGTTATAAATTTTCTACTTTTCGTAACATGTTCGTTTAAAGCGCAACTTTTGTTCCTCCTTGATTTTTTTACATTTAAGGAAGCAAAAGAAAATTATTATAGGAAAAATAAATTTTCCATTTTTTGGGAATGCTACTCGAAAAAATTGTCGTTGCAACTTTTTCTGAGAGCAGACGTCGTCACACCACTTGGTTCACTTATTTGTTTTCATTCTGCGTAAACCACTTAATATTAATATACAGGGTGTCCCAAAAAATGTATACACATTTTAAATAATTGTAAACTTGGTGTCTTTCATATTTTAATGATTTTAAAAATGTAAAAAATGTACAGGTATCATTTTATTGTTTTCTCAGTGCATGTTCCCAAACTCACGTCCAATTTGATCCAGATATTTTTCTAAATACCACTCGCAATACTGTGCTCTTCAATCTAGATCATCATCATTAAGACCATGGAATAATCTTGTGATATACCTTTTCCAAAGACATTGTTTCATAGTGCGAGAACATGTAGTGAAAAAAACAATCGAATGATACGTGATAATATTTTTCCATTTTTGAAATAATAACATCATAATAAACATCAAGTTTGAAATTATTTGAAATGTGTTTACGTTTTTTGGAACACCCTGTATAGGTGATCATTTAAGTAACCTTCGTTACGAGTTGTAAACAGCCGCCCACAGTCAGGAAATTATGGCAATAGTTCTGAGGCTGATAATTGTATAGGACAATTTTCCTTATATGTGTATTTAAATCTTCTTTCTAACTGTGTTCCAAACCATGCGAACTGAAGTTGTTCCCTCAGGCACGGCCCTTGTAACCCAAATCTATCGCCTCTAAACTTGATTACTTGCTAGTGCTCCAGCTTCTGCTGAGATTAAATACATTAACTAACAAGGAATCGATGGATTAATCTGATAGTAGGATTGTACTTCTATCCTACGATCAGCACTGTTCTTTGCCTATTTTCTTCTTTTTGATGAGGAAAAAGCTTTAGTTATTGCCACTAGAAGGTCTTTATATTTCCCCGTATTCTCTAAGTGTTAATCGAATCCTAAGATATGTGATTTAGCAGGCGTTACCTCATCAAAAATTTTGAACCTAGCAGACGGAATTTCGCTGAGAAAAAGGTTGTTTGCCATGAGAGAGTAAATAGTCTCACCAATCGAATAACGGAACTCACTCGCTCCATTGCGCCTTCGGGCACAACCTCGAGCCCAGCCAGTACATACACAGCGGTTAGTATGATAGGCGTACCGAAATTATTGTCAAACGCAAGGACTTCTGCTAATATATCTAACAGCAACCGGTAGGACAACGAACGTGGCACTCAAAGGTTCAGTCTGGATAGCTGATTACGGCCAATACACCAGAAAGGGCCATTCTAGTCTCCCTGGTTTTTGCCAGTAATGTCATTCTGATTGCGTCAAGGCCTGTCTCCTGATATCTCACAGCAATATTGATAACCAACATCCAGATGAATGACCCAAAGAGCATTACTTCTGTAAATCACGGCTGTTCCCCATGCAGGAGTATACTCAGATGAATAACCTGCGGTACGTTGAGTGACGGGTTTTATTCTGTAAACTCCAATTCTTCGTCACGTGACCTCACTTGGAAACTCTATTTTTCTCACTCGAATGAGCAATCTTAGCATTATTCAGAGGAGCAAGAGGTCCTACAGTCTAATATGAACTGCAGAATATTTCAAAGTCCCCGACTATCGACGTCAATTTCATTTATGGGCTAATACCATTCTGCAGGCATTTTATCCAAACTAGTTCTCTACAATACCTCCTACAAAAGCGAAACTATAGGCTCACGTCCATTGGTAAGAGCGGATATCACAAATTAACGGCTCACTTACACAATCTAGCGTACTTATGGAGACTGAGTTAGGGAAATTTGCTTTATTTTTGGGTAAAATACACCAGGTAGTTTAATTCTTGAAACACTGCCTGTGGACGTAATATAAATTATCAAGTAGAAGCGATTAATTAAGTGAAGTTTTAAAATTCACTACCAGCCGACATATCGTAAAGCAGCTCGTAAGGCCAGGCCATGGGTAATCGAGTAAACGTTCTTCCGCCTAGCGAAGAATTTCATTTGGTAAGACGCAGCTAATTATCCAGGCTGCATTGACTCTGTCGATTCTCGGTGCCAGTATAAACTGCACAGATACACAATTTCGCAGATGTTTGACATGAAGTCAATTGTTTTAATTTCAAACCTACTTTCTAATT